GACACCAAGTCCCCCCTGAGAGTTCACGGGCCACCAAGTCCTTCATCCCCGTCCTTAGTCATAGGACCGTGGAGACTGCCCTGGTCACAGCTCACAGTTACCTATGACCACACACCTGGGTTCTGGGCCCACGGAGAGGATGCTAACACTGGGTCAGACATCCTGGCAGGACCTCCACCCCAGCCCCCTAACTGTCCTTCTGGTGGGAAATGCACGTACCCTAACATTTACCGTCGTGGGCACTTGGGTGCAGGTCAGGCCGTGAAGGGCACTCGCGTTGCCATGTAGCCCTCACCGCCTTGTCCCCTAGAGCGTTCCGGTCTTCCCGGACAGACACCGTCCCATAAACACGAGCTGCCCACTGCCCTCCGCCCTGCCCTGGCCCCCACCATGTGCTTTCTGTGCCCGTGATTTGACTCAAGGCAGCTCCTGGAGCGGAATCCTACAGTTTCTGTCCTCCTGACTGGCTCCCTTCACTGAGCGCAGGTCTCCCAGCACGTCCAGTTGAAGGATGCGGCAGAAATTCACTCCTTTTGAAGGCTTACTCATATCCCAGCACATGGATAGACCACGTTTGTTTCTTCAGTCTTCCGTTAGCAGACACTTGGGTTGCCCCCAGCGTGTGGTTTCTCTGAATCATGCAGCTGTGGCCACATGTACGCCAGGGCTGCTCTGGTCTCTGCTCCCGGTTCTCCGGAGCTAGCCTAGGAGGGCGACCGCTGCGTCTCACGGGAGCTTCGTGCTCAGTGCTCTTCCTTGAAGGAGCTCACTTCTCCAACTACGGCTCTCTTTCATCTTCGCCTTTGTCATCCTTTCTGCTTTCTAGAATGCTCGTGGAATGGAGGGTCCTCCAGCAGTCATCTGAACCATAAGTGTGGATTCCTCACCCGAGGACCAAGGGGCAGAAGACAGAGCAGCTGGGACACCTGAGGACATGTCGCTGGCTCCCAGGCTCCCTTCAGCAGACACGTACGTGACAGGATTAAAATTAAAATTCCTCCTTGTTTAGGACATTGGCATTCTGGGTTTTCTCTTAAAACTGACTCAAAAAAAAAATACTACTTTTGGAAAAAACAGAATTACACATTTTATTGCAAAGAAAAACGAATCACAGATAGAGTTAGGTATAATCTCACCACCCAGAGGTGCCCTTGCTTTGTATTTTGTTCGTTCATTTGTTATTTTTTTAATATATATCCCGTCTTTTTTGCTTCCAGGCCTGTGGTCATTCTGTGAACAGAGTAGCGTGTCTGGGATTCTCCACGCGGCTACGCCTTTTGGAATCAGTGACCTCCACGGCTTGTGACACTCCCTCTCGAGTCTGCGCCTTTGTGTGACACGGTTGGAAATCTTTAGCCAACAGCCCTTGCATCAGTCACTCGTGGGTCCTTCTGCGGGGAAAGACTCCAGGTGTGGGTGCCAGGCGGCCACCTGAGTGCGACACCCCTCTGTCAGCCTGGCCCAGAGCTCCCTGCAAAGCACAGGCGACGGGAGGACACTGAGCGCGCCCCACCGCAGGGCACAGGGCGCCTCGCCACCCCTCCTCAGCCCGTGGCCCTTGCCACGTCTTCCCCTTCCCTGCGTCTCCTACCGGGCACTGAACATATTTCAGCAGTGAGTCTTCCTTCTGTTTCCCTCACTTTTATTTGGTTTCTACTCTATTCTTTCCGTTTTCTAGATGCTAATGGTGGAAAACTCTGTCTCCATTTGTTAAGTTATTTTTAAATTTCTTTATTTGTTTTTCTTAATTACAAAAGGACTCAGTCTCAGAGTCATGAATGCAAACCATGGCTCGTGTACCAGGGAAAAAGTGAAAGTAAACATCTTTTCTTACTGAACTGTGGTTGGAGCGGGACAATAAACATACATTAAGTGGAGCTTGTGGAAAAGATAAGATGATGAGCATTCACAGAGCGGCTTAATCCAACTCCCTTTCAACCTCTTCTCACGGCTCTGCAAGAGACCTCTTTATCGTTGCAGAAGATAAATTTGTCCACGGAGCCTTTCATTTTCTGCTGACTGAGGACGGCTGGACAGATGGCTCAGTTGAGCAGGAAGTGAATGTCCTGGGAGCAGGGGCTCTCGGTGGAACAAGACTCTTGGTGCCATCAGCTAATGTCCTTATGCCAGAGGAGGGTTCAAGGAGGCAAGGAACCTTCCTAATAGTGAGCTCGGTTTGAGGCTAGAGTCTGATGGAGAAGTAGCCACAGTAGTTGGGAGCCCCTCACTGTGTCCCTTTGTCCTGTGGCCCCTCCTGGCCATGCAAGAGAGCAGAGGATCAGCCTCAGACCCCGTTGCAGCCTCATAGCTGATGTCCACTGGGCAGTTTGTCCCAGAGCCCTTTGGCATCAGGAAGGAAGGCCTGAGCTCAGACATTGACATGCACGGGGTTTTCTTATTCAGCTTGGTTTCTACTGTGGTGTTGCCATGTTGGATAGTGCTGGGGGAAGCAGGCAGCCCTGACTCTAGCACCCACACATCCTTGCTGTGGGTCTGGACTGCAGGGCCCATGCACCCCGATCCTGAGCTGTTTCTGTAGGTCGGTCTGCAGAGAACTACGTAGGTGCAAGTGACCACGGTGTGACCTCCTTCCATTGTCAGGGGGGAGGGAGGAAATATTTGCTGCTTGCTGCAATGTTTACTCTTTATAGATGTTTGCTGCCTGCCCCAATATTGCCACTTGCTGAATTATTGCTAGCTGACAAGTGTCATTTTGTCACTCCATTCTGTGCCTTTGATCAAAGAGAACTGCTTCAAGGCCCTGGATGCTCATGTTGCTTGCCACACCCTGAGAGTACTGAAGTCTCTCATCTGTGACGGGCAGTGTCACACCCCTTCTCTGCAGTGGACGACGCT